GTTCCCACCAGGGACCCATCTGCTCCTGCCCAATGGGGCAAAGCCAGGAGGTTTGTGGAACACATTGGACCCAAGCAGGTCCCTCCCACCAGCCAGTCCTGGCTGGCACAAGGACACTGCTAGGGACAGGGTCCAATATACTTGTGCTGCAGTGGCAGCTCCTTGCTGATGTTAGGCCACATATGCAGTGCTGGCTTGGAAACGTGGCCCATTCTCGGGCCACAGAAGCTGGCAATCTGTATGGATTTCTAAGCATTTCTACCAGGCAGCCAGGTGTAAGTGGGGGTGCAGCCATATGGATATCCAAGTGGCTCATTCCATGAGAAGAGACCTTGAATGCAGGACCTCAGCCAGCCACCCAAACCAAACCACCCTCTGACATGACAAAAGTAGTGCCTGGTTGCAATGCAGCCAGTGCAGGACAGTGAAGGGGCTGCAGCTCCAGGCACTGACCAGAAACAAGCTGAGCTGAGCTCCTCAGGCAGCAGCTGCTTCTTGCACTGACTGCAGGGTCAAAATGTAATGCTCAAAACCTGCTCCCCACTTCCCCAGGACTGGGGTGCAGTAAGTGGGATGGGATAGATGTCTGTGCCCTGGGAGTGTTGCTTACAAGGGGGGTACCTGCCCCACTATGCCAACCTGGCACTGCCCCCATTCCCCATGAGCCCCACTTACCATCAGCATCTTCAGATCGGCCCTTTCAGCTGGATTTTTAATTAAGCTGAAATCAGAAGCGGGAAAAAAGGATGAGTCCTGGTCAGACACTGACTAGTTACTTGCAGACCAGCCCCTGGCTAGGTGATTGGGATGTCACTGAGAGCTGCCTTCAATGCATCTAAATCCCTTAGATTCCATCACCTCTCAGAGCAGGCCCTGTGTGTGCTGATTGGACTGGGCAGACTTTTTCACAGATCCTAGAGGGCAGAGCACCCTCAAACAGTTGCCAAAGGACAAATCTGCACCCAGATCAACCCAGTACCCAGCCACCGTATACAGGTTGGACAGCAGGATCAAACACTGGGGGAATTGGACAAGAATACCTATTTCTAAACACCCAGCTCCCACTGGGACCCCAAGGTGCAGCCCCTTCTAGGGGCATTGGACCAGCCACTCACCCCAGCTAGAAAGTGAAGCAACTAGCGATGCATGAGGCCAGCCCAGAATGTCCAGATGCCTTATTTGAAGGAGCTACAGTTCAGTCACTCTGAAATCAGGCCTTCCTGCAGCATCCCAAGAAAGGCACCCAACACCCGATGACCTCAAAATCATTATTCATAGTGGAAAGTTCAGGCCTCACAGGCTGTAGTGCTTGGCTCAGGAACAAAGCATATTCGCGGGCAAACCAGGACCAGTGGGTCTCGACTCATGCCTGCTAATTATGATGTCACCTCATCACATTTGTCTGATGTGGGGGTCTTCAACTCAACTTTCAAAGATACTGCTTGACTGACCCCTCCTACTGACAGACTCAAGCCATGATAATTATCGGTTCCTCTAAATGAAAGCCAGATGTAGGATCCCCTGTGGCTCATTCCTGGTCACTAACCCACACTATGCTAGCTAAATTAATGCTACCGTGGTTTTCTTACTGGTGGCTGCAACTGCACCTTCTTTAAGGTGCTAAACAAGCCAGACCCTCCACAGTAGATGTTAGCAAGGGACCCATCAAACACCCAGAAAACAAAATCTAATCACAGGGACTGACTAGGTGGCTCATGGGACTGGTAATGGGCTACAAGGACTTCCATCTGTTAGGTCACCAAGTCCAACACAAGCCACGCTGGTGGCAGTGCAGCACAGCATAGCTAGTCATTTCTCACCAGCTATTTTTGTGGCCCAAGCAAAATGAATGGGTGGTTTAGGTCCATTTAGTAAGACAAACAGCCCTATTATAGAAGCAGCCAGCACAACTCAGAGTGATCACACCGAATGGATCATGGTGGCTGAGGCCAGGGCCTCCATGTCAGAATGCAGGTAGAGAAACCTCTCCTGCTACTGCTGCCAGCACTGGAGCAAACGCTCCCATCTCCAGGCCTGTCCTGCCAACACCAGACTCAGGCTCTAGACCGACCTGCACATAGAGACCCTTACCATTTATTTACAAACTCCTGGAAGTCTTGTGTGAAAACTCCATGCGGCAGCTTGGGAGGTGGCTGGGGAAGAAAGCAGAAGGATTTTTCATATCAGAGCTCTCTTACCCACTTCCCCTTAAAAAAATCACTGGTCACTGCTCCCTCCTAGCATCTACCCACTCTGGTGGTATGTGGCAGAAGGTGTGCAAGGAGCTGAGAAGGGAAAATCCTGCCCGCCCTCTGGGTTTAGCACTGCCCACTTGACTCAGAACACAGAGGCCGTCTGCTTTGGAAGTACTGCCATGAGATGGAGTCCAGCATGCCAGGATCAGTGCCCCGATCCGACACAGCAGCTTCCAGCTCCAAAGCAGATGGAGCTAACTGAGAACAGTCTGGAGAGCTGGTTGGGTGACAACTCACGTCCTCTCAAATGGGAAAGCTACTGTTTCTACAGACTAGCTCTGCCTCCTTTGTGCAACAGACTGCTGCTGTAAGACCACAGATTGTAACTTACCTTTGGCTTTGCCAAAGAGATTATTTAAAATGACAGGTTTAAATGCATCAGAAAAAAAGATTTAGGATTTGGTCAGTTTCTAAACCGCTTATTTTGCTCTCCACTGACTGAGCCAGCCCTGTGCTCAGAAGGCTGGAAGGACCGTAAGTCTTCTATGCAAGACTGTGTATTCTTCACAGACTGCCAAAAGGGTTTGTGCAAAGTGGCTGACTACTGAAGAAATAGTTCATTGGGTTCAAGGGCTTCCCTTTTCCTCTCCCCTTTCAAGGAGATTGCAAGCCCCAATGCTGGGGCAATTTTAGGCTTTAATACAGAAAGGGAAAGAAAATGGGGAAAGGAGAAAAGAGATCCAACAGAGCAGGGGAGAGAGGATTCTACTGAATTTTTCCCTTTCCATTAACATTTTATCAGATGACTACAGGAGGATTTTAACCCTATCCTGAGTCAGGAGACCCCAGGGGTAAACCTTACTAAAATCCACAAGTCAGAAGGGTCACAGTTCTGAGAAAACCTCTGTCCATACCCACCTCATTAACAATATAGTCCAGCAGTTCAAAGATAGCCATGGCAGGCCGGCTGTCCATCCCGTGGCCTGAGAGACGAAGTGGACAAAAGGAGGGTAAGACATTGTGCAAACAGTTAAGGGATTCTCTTAGCATAAACAGAATGTGCCATGAGCTGAGACTGTAAGGAAACACAAGTAAGTCAGCAAGCACTGAGTTTCTAAAACCCATGTTTTTGACCTTTATGGTTTAATCTGCTTCTGCCAAGTCACTGATTCACTTTGTGGCTGCGAGCATTTGGAGAATGCAGAGCCATCTGGCTTGGCAGACTGAAAGTAAGCTAGGAAGCCTTTTGCCTCCAAGTCAGTGGCTCAAACCCAGGCTGCCTCAATAAGCCCCATATATTTATTTGTAGATCTATGCAAGGCTGAACCGGGGGGGGTCTCAGTCTGGCTGTCAGGAAAACTATGTTCATCTCCACACACAACTGGCCCCTTTGTTAGCCAGGCCATTTGGAGACCCGGGACTAAGTGGGCCACTACAAGTGACTTGCACTGAGAGACAACACCTTCAAATCAGAGGCCAGGCACATAAGCAGGATACAAATGCTTACCCTACTGCCTGTGCTATACTGAACCAAGGCTAAGCAGAGCACTTGACTCGAGGGCCATGTCTCTAGCACTAAGTCTACATGACTCTCTCTCAAAAGGACCATTTAAAACAGGCAGTGAAGCATCCTGGCAGAAGGAACAAACTTCCAGCTCTAATTCTGCACCTGGGAAGGTCAAGAACTCCAGAAACAGCCAGAAGGATTTGCAGGGCTCAAGTGATACACCCTGAAGGAACGTGATCTTGGGAAAGTGCCAGGCACCTGAACTCCAAACATCAGGCCCTTCTCAAAGTGCCTCTAGCTGATCCTGCAGAAGCACCAATCAGGTGAAAAAACTGATGCTTTAATACACATCCCAGCTTAGTAGGCCACTTCACGCAGGGAGGGTGTAAGAACTACAAGAGTACAAGTTTGTGATGGATCCTGATGCCGGTGCTTTTACAGACTGAGCTGTTCTGCAGAGCAAACTCCTGCTGGAAGTACTGTTACATGTCAGCAACTCCATGCCAAAAGCTCAGATGTAGAGAAGCAATGGAATCCAGTCAGTGGTTCTAAATCACTGTGCATGTCTAACTCAGCCCCGCAAGCAAAACATTCAAACCGCCCATTCCACTGGATACTGACTGATTTCAAACACAGCTCTTACCACTGACTGGGCGTCCTGGGGGTCTGGGCCGTGGCGAGATGCTGTGGGTTTCTCCCTCTGCCCCATCTACCATGGGACGCCCAAATATTGCTTCCAGTTCCTTAGAGTCCGGTGGGGGGATGGGGTACCTTCCTATAGACAGCTCCACAAGGGACAGACCCATGCTCCAGATGTCCGACTGAACCGAGTAATGAGTGCCTTGCAACCGCTCTGGCTGTAAGGAGGAGTCACAGAAAGGGGTCTTGGTAAGACTGATTCTCAGAGAAGGTCACCATGAAAGGGACTCTGCTCGCTGGAAGTAATTCCCAGCCACAGCACATGACTGCAGAGAAACTACATCATAGGGAGAGATGCAAGTGACTTCCTGCATTAATTAGATGTTTTAAGTGAAACAGATAAAACTGTAAATCTCTCCCCCTTCTCCTAGTGCTTTGCTCTTTCAGGTTGAAGAGCTGGCTCTTGCAAACCATGCTCTTTCCCTTTCAGGGCTGATCAACAACAGGGAAAAGCCGCTTGAGAAGATTCACTGTGTCCCCTTTATAAACCGGAATCCTCCAAGGGCCTTCAACTCTTGAAATGAGTCAGAAGCATCAGTAAGCTCAGAAAAATGTGTGCAGAAAAAAGGGTGGCAGGGGGAGGGAGAGGACACTGTATGGAGTTCCCCCTTTGCAGAAAAGTCACTTACACACCAAAGCTAATCCTATGCTTTCACTGGAAGCTACGCTTGAGTAGCATTTACATTCTATTATGGTCAGAACAGCGACTGTCACAGCCTGCATGCACAGGGGACATTCTATTATTTGTTTTAAGTCGTCATGGTCTTAATATAACTGTACTTTAAGAACAGCAGCTCCCAAAATATAAAGGGGACCAGAGTTAAGGATAGAATTGCAGGCCAAGAGGCCCCCTAATAACCATCTGCTTTTGTCACAGCTGCTGTAGCACAAGGAGCAGTGAGTAAACTGTTACACAGGATACACTGTTCTCCTGCTTTGACTTACTCTGAAAGATCAGAGGAAGGGGAAAAAAACCCTCTATCCTTTTATAATTCAGTTTGCATATCTGATGCTTTAGATCTAATTCTCCATTTGCCTGCAGTCTTGGCACCACCAACCTGAATGACCTGAAGCATTTTGCTCAGGTGCACGTGCCTGCACAAGGGCAAGGTGATAGAGAACTCAAGAGGCATTTCATGTGGTTATAATCAGTCTCTCCTGACCAGATGTTTGAGTTTTTCTTGTCACACAGAGTAGAGAAGGAAAAGGTAGTGAATGTGGTTGTAGGATGGCAGCTACAAATTGACCACTACTCACATGGGCACAGCTTGTAGTTCTTGCAGAGAAGGGTCTAATAGCGGGAGTATTACAAATGAGGTTTAGCATGCATGGTGAAGCTGGGGGTAAATCTAGACACCAGGTGCAAATACCTGGGTTCTGGAGGGTGTGACATGTCCCCTCTACCCACAGACTTCATTCAAAAGTAGAAGATAAAAGGTGCTTACAGACATATAGGATCGTGTTCCCACAAAAGAATTTGCCATGGAGTCGATGAGCTGGCCACTAACCCCAAAGTCACACAACTTGATTTCTCCCCGAGAATTGACCAGGATGTTAGAAGGTTTCACATCTGAGAACAGGAGAGAGGAACATATTAAGCACAATGCTAGGTAAAAATAATCCAGGGCTCCTGGTGGCAGAAGTTATTTTTTGATTCTCCCTCTCACCTCGATGCATGATCTGATGCTTCTCTCGGAGATAAGCTAAACCTCGCAGAACCTACAATAAACCAAAAGACAAAGTCACTTTGCACAATCCTGTGACAGTGACAGGAAAGCCTCCCTTTAGCAACTAAAGGTTGCAGTTCTTGAAATAACCATCACACACCAGAGCAAACAACAGTTGCAAATTAGACCCATTCTTCTCGGGGACGCAACTTTCTAATCCCACTATGTTACGTCAGAAATACCTGCTTTACTGGCAGAACTGCAGCTTTGTACAAGGCTTCATTTGTGCACATGTTCATGCTATACTTTATGGTTTGTAAGGGATGGTTTAGATAAGGATGATCCTGCCTCGGGCAGGAAGTTGGACTAGATAACCTCTGGAAGTCCTTTCCAGCCTTACTCCTCTATGACTCAAGAAGCTGGGGATGCACTGAAGGGTCTGAAACATACTTCCTTCCCATCTCTCGGTTATGTTTTCATGTCAGACTAGAGATGGGTGGAAAAACCTACTAATTCAGGTTCAAGGCCAGCCATGTCTACCAAGACAACATCATCCTCTGATATATGAGGTAAGACATTCACAGGGTACACAACAAGTATACCAGCATGTTTTGGGAGACTGACAATATAAGGTCAGACTGGTATGCACTGCCAGTTACTGTATTTTCTGAGATCCCCTAGACCTTCTCTTCCCATCTGCCCATAAGTGAGCCCAGGTAAAGGGATACTTACTGCTATGCTGACTTTTCCTAAGATCTCCTCAGGTATTCTTTTGGCTTCTTTCAAGACCTGATCCAAGGAGCCACCATCCTACATTCAGAGTAGAGAGATTAGCAGCCACACACCAAGCACTGGCACAAACCGCCTCACAGGTCTTCTTCAGCTCCAGACTCTACAACCAGGCACCTCTAGCCAGGATAAGGAGCACCCAAACAGCACACCACATTCTGGGTTTCCTGTCAGTACCCTCAGATTTCTCTGCCCTCAGAGAAAGGAAGAGACCTCTGGTGATTACCACAGCTGGGTGGTCAGAGGACAAGGTCCATCTCCTGTTTCCCACTTCATCTTAGTTACCAAAAATTCTGTTCTAACAGCACCTTCTGCCAAGTTAGCTTATCGTCACATGGTCAGCATAGTTCCCCTATGTCCAGCTGTCAATTCCAAGGCCATGCTGGCTGAAAAGATTTAGCCCTCCCTCCCCTGCCAAATACAGCGGAAGATGCGCGTTGCATTTCATGCTGAATTCTGTTTGGTGGAGGTTTGCAACACTTCCTCTTGGCTGGACCCCAAAGCCTTTGCTTCCGCTTTCCAGCAACTCAATTTCTTTCTGAGACGCCCAGACAGGGCTGTGCACTCCTAGACAGCTCCGCTCCACTGCAAGCGTCCCACACAAGATGACTTTTTGGCTGTCAGCAAAGAACTGGGACACTCCCCCTCTGCCCACACAGCCCAGAGTGCCATGGCTCAGTGCAGCAGCAGCTTAAAAGGCAGAGGGAATCAAGACTCACCATGTGCTCCATGCAGATACTGATCTCCCCATCACTGTAGAAGGCTCCATAGAAACCCACAATGTATGGTGAGTTACACTCATGAAGGACCTGCAGCTCGCGGATAATCTGATTACGAATGGCAGGTTTGATTTCTAAATGAATCAGCTGCAGAGAAAGACAAATCAAGATGCAGAGTCACAAAGCAGCATGAATGTCACCTGGGGTAGGGGAAGGGGGAAAAAAAAAAGGGGGAGCTGGAAAGAGCTCTACTTTATCTTGGGCTGGGAAGACACTGAACTGTCTGGACATCTTCCTGATTTCTACATGGCATAGAAAATGCAAACGAGGGCAGTAGTCACCTGTGTAGAGGTAACACAGGATATGAAGCAGAAAGACAACCTAGACCTAGCCTGCTAGTGATGCTAATCATCTAACACAAGAAAAGCCAGCTCTGCAAGTGCTCAACAAGTATCCTGTACCAGAGCAACCAGGGTAGGTAGGTATCACACCTGCAACTTGGAACAGGGAGTGGTGGGAAAATTACAGCAGCTGCATCATTCCTAGGGCTCCAAGGAGGGCCAGTTTTATAGGCATATATTGCTTGGAAGGGGAGCCCCAAGCGCTGGAAAAGCAAGTCACTCCAGCATGGCAGCCATTATCATGACGACTCCCATCATTCCACAGGGGGTGACGAGGAAGGGCCACACCAGATTTAAGGCCTTGAAATGCTCAAGCATCTCCTAGCCTTTGGAGCTTCGAACACGTGTGCATCAATTTCCACATTCAAGGCACCCTGCCAACTCCACCGCTCCCAAGTCAGGTGCTACACTGGAAGCCCAGACAGTCCCTGGGACATGCTGGCTCATCAGGCCCAGAGGATTTTACCTTGTGCTTTCAAAATTCAGCCCCATAGATTAGGAAGCTGCAGAATTTCAGGCATGTCTCAGAGCAGCTCCATCTGATCTGGCAAAAAATGTCTTGTTTTTTCCTCAAGTGTCGCCTTGTTTTTGATGGGCAGATAATCCATCCCAGTTTCATTCTCAGGCATGAGTTAGGGGGGGAGGAGGGGGAAATACAGGTGGGGCTGGGATGGTAAATGACGTCAGCAAAATGGCAAGGCTGCTCAGAACAAGCTTTTAGGATTAGCAGTCAGCTAAACTGAGAAAGGAGGGCTTGGGGCAGGAAGATGTCTTTAATTTGTGGCTGCCTACAAACTAATTCACCAGGGCCTACTTTTAAAGACCCCTCTGCTCTGCCAGCCAACTGCACTTCTTTCTGCAGGTTTTGCCAACCATTGCCATTCATTAGCTGTGACCCGCACCTGCCTAGATTGCAAGATTGCTACATGCCTCATTGCATTCGGCCAAGCTGATTAAGCGTAGCTCTAATGAAAAAAGAAAATTACAGTTTTGACTCGAGGTGTTCAAGACACCACATGGGATTTGACATACAGAGCAACTCGCATCCCAGGAGCTCATGCTGCAAGCGAGAAAGGACTGGATCACGCACAGGAGAGGGCATGAAAGAGCCTCAGCTCTGTGCCATGCTATCAAGCCAGCACAGCTCAGAAGCCTGGGGAATCCCCATAGTATAAATAGGCATTGCTATGCTTAGATCA